ATCAAATAATCCATATGAATTCAAATTACTTTTTCGTGGAAGCAGAGATGGATTTACTCGTGATTCATTTTGGAATTTATGCGAGAAGCAGGTAAATTTGGTCGTTGTCATAAAAGTTAAAGATACTGATGAAATTCTTGGCGGATATAATCCAATTGGATGGGATAAATCATTCGAAGGTTATAAAAGTTGTGCAGAATGTTTTACTTTTTCATTGAAGAATGGCACTGTCCAAAATTCTATTTTAAGTCGTGTGAAAGACATAAACAATGCAATTTATTGTAGTTTTAACTATGGGCCAGCCTTTACTGGCAGTGTTTGGATGTATAATCCCTGTCACAATAATAGATGCTATTGCTACAATGGAAAATTTTATGAAAAACTAATTAGAGATGAATCTACATATGATGATTCTGGACGTTCATTCTTTTTAGTAGAGGAATTTGAAATATTCCAGATTCGTAAAAAAGTTATATAAATTGTAATTTCAAATAGGTACACGGTTAAAGAATCATTTTATTACATATAATCGATAGTTTACATGCAAAATTTTATTTACTTTTACCACTTCTATTATTATTATAAGGCTGGGTGAAATATGTATTGTGAGTAGAGATGGGCATTCTGCATTATGTGCATTATATTATGCAAAAACATAATATAGATATTTTAAATTTTAAAAGTGCACAGAAATTACTATATAATTTTAATGTAACAAAATTAATAAAATATTATATTTAATATCATATGTAATACTAAGTGATATGTAGCATCAGTTAGTGATTTCCTAACTGTATAAAGCTGGCTAGCTAATATGAGGTTTGAAAATACTATAAAATAGTAAACTTCTGTCTAAAGATAAGAAGATTGGATATAAATCTTGCTTCTTGATTTTGGTAGAACACCATGATTGCATAATGTCGTATGCTGCATTATGCTGCATTATGAATGCAGAGTCAAAAAAAATATGCATTCGCACATCTCTAATTGTGAGCTAGTAAAATTCGCTACACAGATCACGTTAGAGTTAAATCCGCGTTTAGCTGGTTTTTATTATGCAAAAGCAGATTTTATTCTCATTTGATCATTCTGATATCATTATTATAAACATTAATGCCAATAGAGTATTGATATAACAGAATCTGTTTATCTGACAGATTTGAAAAATTCTATAATATGATCGAATTTATATTCTTTGTATAACGGAAAATTGTGATCATATTCACAATCCAAAAGATTGGTAAAGATGGAAAATATAACTGAGATGGTGATATTGATCATTATACTACACCAGTAACTTTATTAGTCGACAGCTTAGAAGCTAGGTCAATTACATGTTTAAGGTCTCTGAATGTTGGCAATAAAATTTGTAAATTTATAACTTTCGTGCTAATCTGTAGTTAATATAATATTGTCCGACAACAAGCAATGCTTATATTTAAAAACTAAAAGCTTTTATTTTGCAATACTCAGATACAAAAAACACCATTACTTTATTTATCAATATTAGAGATATCTTAAAAACTGTTTATGGTTTGTATTGTTAAATTCTATATAGTAAATAGTTGCAGCATAAGCTATAACAGTTATACCACGTCTCTAATTAATGTACTGTAAATTTTAATGTTTATTAGTATTGCTAATTCAATTAAGGTATTCTCAACATAGCACCAGTAAACTCTATTTCATTAGGTTTCTAATGCAGCCATCATACACAAAAAAATTTATGTTACTGAAACATAAATAGACTATCGCACAGACTAGATCTTTTACCAGGAGCTTTATTCTTGCAGATATTTTGTTTTTTGATAAATTTTATTTTAGTCAGAGGTTTTACTTTTAACAGGGTTTCGTCTTTCTCGAGGGTATCATCACTTTCGTTTTTCAGAAGATTAGATTTTGTCATTTATAATAATAACTTCGCTTAAAAACATTAGGTCTGCCATTTAAGTGAAGGGCTTGATACTAGTTTAGATACAATATTTATATTGCTTAAAAACGTGTTTTATTGATGCATTGTGATCTTATAATTCTGTTAAAATATTTTATTTTGCTTAACTGTTTTTTTATAGTTATCTAATATTTTCACAACTGTGAGTGAAGATATAACGATAACCATCTACTTAAAACTACTAAAAATTTCTTTATTTTAATGTACCGTATTATAAAATCATAATCAAAAAGCTTCAATTTTAGAGAAGTGGTTATCGGATATCTTTGCCCAAATTTGAAAAGAACTTTGCAATAGCTCCTGTTTTCCGAATTTTGAGCAAAGATATTTTTGCAGCCATTTAGCAAAAAATTTTTTTGTTTAATTATGCAATCTTAAAATCGAAATAAAAAACATTTTTTTCACAAATTTTAGATAAGTGGCTTTCAGATATCTTTTGCTTAAGGCTTGAAAAAAATTTGCCAAGGCATCTGTTTTAATAGTTAACTAAATTTTTTTTCAAACTTTGATCGAGATCCTTCAACAACCACCTGTCAAGATATTTTTGCTCAAAGCTTGGAAATACTGTGACTTGCTCTGAGTTTTTTTTTCAAACTTTGGACCGCCTATCAAAAATTGATGAAATGGTATTTTATTTTATTTTACAGTTTTATATAATTGCATAAAAAAATTTTCATCAATTTTAAATAACTATTTTTCGAGATCTCTTCGTTCAAGTGTGAAATAAATTTTGGCATAATTTATTCTGATATTCTGATCTTGATAGCTTAGTTTTTTTAAACTTTGAAAATATCTCGATGATTACCTATCGAAAATTGATAAAAGGTTTTTTAATTATGCGATCATATAAAATCGGGATAAAAAAAATTTTTATGGATTTTAGATAGGTGATTGTCGGGATATCTTCGTTAAGTTTTTTTTTTAAAAAATAATACAGTAGTCGCAAAAAGATCCGAAAAAATAATATACAACAAAATTTTTCCGTATTTTAAGAATGGGTAAATTGTTCTTCAATATGGTTTAAACGAATGCAATAAATCGCAAGATTTATTTAAGTTCAAACTCATCGCCATACACTATATCCGACGATTTACGGAACGCCTCAAATTTTTGGAATCAAACTAGTACCTAAAATAAAATTATATTAAAACTGGATAAAACCCGCGTTGTAAATTAGTAAAATCCGCTACGTACATAGATCACGTTATGTTTTTATACGATAGTATACGATAGGGTAGGGTGAAACCCGCGCGAAAAGTGGTTACGTTATTGATGCAGATCACTATCCAAAATAGTACGTAACTACAGTAACATATCACTAACAGTGTTGTTACTAGCCTTAAGGCTACCGTATTTTCGCGTAATAACGCACACCTGTGCGTTATTTCGAGTATCTGTGCGTTATTTCGAGTATCTGTGCGTTATTTTGGACTCACATGTGCGATATTTCGAATCAATATAGCCAATAATTTAATAGACATGTGCGTTATACTTATATTTATCGTGCAAACTCTTGGTGTGCGTTATTTCAAGATGCACATGTGCTTTATTTAGAGTCAAATAAGCGATTTTTAAAAAAGTGGCAACTTCGAAATAACGCACATGTGCGTTATTACACGCAAATACGGTAATATTAGCCTTAGCCCTTGTCTAATTGGCCTTAGCCTCAAGTCTAATTGGCCTTAGCCTCAAGTCTAATTAGCCTTAGCCCTTAGACTATATATTTAAGATTGTTTTAGCATTATGTCTAATTAGCCATGTCTAATTAACCATGTCCAATTAGCCGGTCTAATAACAACACTGATCACTAACCTTAACTAAGTAAGTTCTGCATCAACAACATAACTACCTCTGTCGCGGGTTTCACCCTTTCATTTTTTTATTATGCAAAAGCGAATTTCACCTTCATGTGATTTACGTAGTGGTTTTTACTAATTCATAGCGCGGGTTTCACCCTGTCGTATTATATTTATATCCAAAGTTTATACGTAGCGATAGGATTTTATTAATTATAATTGAGAGCGTAGTCTAATAAGTTTTGAATCTTGTAATTTTCTTATCTATAAAACCCAATGGGCTTTGCTTTATCAAATGGGTTATACTGATCAATGATGTCGAGCTAGAGTTATTAATAGGTTGGGTTATAAACCAGTAGAGTCATGTTAACACCAGCTTAATTGATTTTGATTGGTCGTGCATAACGGGAGATCTCGAGATGGACCTACCTTTTAAGCGACCCAAAAATGTGACCCGATGACACAAGATTAAAGACTTTTATTTTAACGTACTGTATGCACACATCTGTACATAATACTATTCGTAAATTCGAAGTCTAACTTCAATATAATAATGTAACCATGGCTCATTCTAACTGATTAGACAAAATAAAAATCTGTTTCAATACTAATACTATTTTAGCAAAAGAAAGTTTATTTTGAATATATAAAATAAATTATACAACAGATATAAAATAATTATTACTAGCTGTTACAATAGCCTTTCCTTTATTCTAAATAAAATTTCAATCTTCAATAAACCAAAAATCCTTTTCCTTTATCTTCCCTTTTTCCTTAATATCCTCTTCTTCCTTAATATCCTCTTTTGCTGGTTCCCAAATAAATTTACAATTTTTGATTGACAAATTTTCATATCCATGTTCAGGCTTTATTTTTATTTTGGAAGATAATTTTGAATTCATCTTTTTTGATTTTTCTTCCCATGAATTCGTGATAGATGGATCGTCTATAAAACAAATGTATTTTGCTCTTAATTTATCGTTGAACTTGAAGTCTATCTCATTGGCGTTTAAGGCTCTTTCATAAAGAGCAAAATCATGAATATAATCAACTTGATATTTATATATACTTGTACTACTTTTTACTGCATCTGTAACAGCTTCACTTTATTAAAGAATTAGAGGTTAGCAAAAATTAATAGTAAGAATAAAGTATAAATACTATAATATTAAGGACATACTTCATAAATGTTATTATTACATTTTGTAATACAAGTACAAAAAGAAAACTGCCAACTACACCAATTAGAGTAAGTGGCCAAGAATTCCATGCATCAAATGAAATTGAAGACCAATCATATACTGCAAATATAGAACCAAAAAAATTTGAAAATGGATTATTAGATTCCTCTCCAGTCGAAGATTCAACTAGTCCAACGTAATATGAATAACCAAGTAGAATAAACCTAATATACATAATTAATATTGATATTTTAAAATTTTATGTTATAAAAATCATAGATGAATAAATTAAGCATAAAACTCACAATGCATGCCCCTAAAAATGTAGCAGGATTATTAAAAAGTATAATGTTAATACGAAGAAAATTTAAAAATTTATCTAAAGATAATAATTGTTACCATTGCGATGATAGTTAGTATAAAGAATAAAAGAAATTGTCGTATTTCCTTAATAATATTAACGAGTACATAAAGATACAGCGCAAACTCTAAGTTTTATATAATAGTTATACATGAAATTTAGATAATCATCAGTCAAGAATTATTATTAACCAACACTGTACCTTCGAATATATGTAATAATAGAATCTAATAGCAGAATTAATAGTTAAAAGACAAAATAAAAAGAATTTGTAATTTTAAAATATAAATATTAGAGCTGATGCTGACATTAAAAATTGAAAATTTTAATGTAATTTTTTGGGAGTGTAATTTTTTTTTATTATTATGTTAGGGTAAGGGCTAATTTCAATAATAAAAAAGTATACCGTGTTTTCCAAAAGTCAACAGTCCCTGTTTTCTTTATAAAGATCATAATAATAATTATTACATCACACTAATTATCATGATCTTTATAAAAAAACATGAAGTGACTTTTGGAACACCCGGTATATGTGGTTTAGTAGGGTCTATATTTCAAATAATGTTCAGCATCAGCTGTGATATTTAAAGAAATGTATACTTACAAAATCGAGCCAAATAACTAAAATACTGAAAAAAATAACTATTGTAAAAATTAGACTGCCTTCTGCATTTTTAAATCCGTCCTCAAATTTATAATAATGAATAAAAAGATAAGTAAAAACACCCAATGAAATAAGAAGTGATGAAACTTCTATTACAGTAACCGATCCAAAAAATAGTCGCGCTTGATTTTATAGTGATGGTATTGGTTAATTTCAACAATTATATTATATATTGTTAAATAAAATAATAACATTATGACCATAAACATCAGAATATGTGAAATCACACCAGTTATTTGAACATGAGCAATATATGCCCAAGAAAAAATTGAATAGGTTATAAGGTATAAGACAAAACAAATCAGATATTCAATCCAAAAGGTTTTAGAAGAATACCACATCCAATTCATGACTGCATTCATGGATGGGTTTTCACTTAAAACATTATAGAAATCTTCATCTTTTATTATTTTATTAAAGGGACTGGAATTCTTTTCGTCGTAATACTTGCTACTAATAGCAGGAAAAATTAATAAGTTTCGAAATATACTTCTTCTCTCCCTTATATTTTTTATGACCGATACATCCGGTAGCATTTTGGTTGTTGTAAAATTTGGTAAAGGTACCATTCGAATATCATCAATTTTATCAGAGCTAATTTTATCAGTTCTGTAGCAAATTTAAAGTAAAAATGAATTAATTATCATAAACAATAGGCTTAATGTAAATTAATATTTTCATACTCAATCTCATGAAGATCCAATTTAGTATCTTGTGGAACCAACTGTGTTATAGGTATAAAAACCTTCAACAAACCATCTAATTTCGGTGAAATTTCAAGAAATTCAAAAGAAAATATATCCAATTTTTTGCTCCAAAAGCACGGGTGACTAAATAACTTTTGAGCATAATATTCTATTTACAGAAGTTAATATTATAAAAGGTATAAATATTTGTATTAGTATAATCACAAAATTTAATTAATATCATCACCTCTTTCTTTTTCTGTTTTC